TAAACATTGCTGTTTTTTCTAATTTCATTCTTCAATAGATAGACTAAAGTTAGCATAATAATATTTGTTCTTAATTTAGAAGGTTTGTAAAGATTGTTGGATTTCATAGTTCAGACCACAGAATGACTATAGTTAGATAGCCATTAAAAATCAGGGAATACTGAACGAGTGTTTTGTTCTTTTACGGAACTCCTCAACAGTACATGCATACACAGCCCAACTGGAGAGTTAAACCAGGATCCGCAAGTTTCTTAGTTAGCGCGTAACTCTTCAATAACTAAGCTGGTGTTCAGATATTTAACTTTCTTAATTCGCGATATTGTTACATGTAAATCATTGGATTCCAACTCAGTGATCCCGTGGTTAGGTGCTCATCACGTAACCTTAAGTTCCTGGTTTCATTTTTCAGTGGGGCTATGGGTGTATACTGGTGAGGAGTTCAAAATTCGGACTAAATAGCTATCCAGTGCTTCCTGAATTTGAACGTATGTTTAATGAAGATCACTCTCTGATGTGGACAATAATTGTTTATTAGTTGTTATTTATGTCATATTATGTACCATATTTTAGTTTCGTAAAAGAACTCGATTGCTAATTCTTTTTTATTATGACTGCTGGATAATATTTAAATTTTCGCCGTATATTTAATAGCTTTAAGGTGACAGAATTGTTTTTATTTATCAATTTATTTTAATACAAAGTCTAATTTTGTAATTTCATTTCATTTCTTTGAAATTCCAAAAAGCATATTACACATTTATGACATGAGTTAAGTAGATTACTGGTATAAAGTTTTGTGGCCTCATACAATTAATATTTTTACATCGCATTTTGTGATTCGGCTTTATCCTGCTTTAAAATAGATAATACAAACTTATGATTTTATTCTCCATATCTAATAAATTTTATTGTTTGTTTGTTACGTATAATGTTTATTACAGTTATAAAGAAGTATGATGTATGATTGTTTGGCTGTATGATCGATCGGCTTATTTGATACGAATAATGTATACCGAATGATCATTTCCAATGAAGTTATATTATTGAAGAAACATCCACAAGGAATGAATGTAAAATAAATAGAACTAATCAGTAAAGAGAGGGTTGTTTTATGTGATATTAAATATGCACTTATAAATCACATATTTTACACAAAACTAAACAAATGATTGTAGGTTTTGAATTTTGTAGATCATTTACCACCCAATAATACTGGAATTTGACTGTCATTTTTTTAACTAACATGTCAACATCTTAATCATACATAAGTTTAAAGATATTCAAAAGAAAAGACGCTTGAGAAAACAATCCTTTTAAATTACCTAGTCATCAAATTCTATAATTATAAATTCATAATTATTGTCTTACAATGTCCAAAATAAGAAATATGTAAATAATTGAATTAAATAGTGTTATATATTGAAAATAGTGAACTTTTGAGCCAGTTAAGTTTTAACTAGGTCTATAATGTCAATTTCGTGTATTCAGATAAATGTAATTTAGAACTGAGATGAATGAATATGAAAATTAAGGGTATAGGAGAGCAGAGATAAACATGAAAAGGAGTTAGAAGTAAGGGTCTCTTATATGATTTTAGTGTGAGATGATGCAATCATCGACCATGGTAAGAAGAACGGTTGAATATACCTCTTTAGATGCATAAGTTCAGTTGTTTGGTTTATCCTATGTAAAAGAGGCGTACTCTTGCTTTTTTAGATAGATTGTTTGGAACCTGATACAGAACCAAGAAGGCTTCATCGATTTTTATATAATGTCCTCGATCTATTAAATAAGAAAGTATAGTTCTGTTGATCAACTTCATTGCTGAATATCTTCACCATATCGGTATATTTTCTAGAACACACAAAAATACGGCCTAAGTAACTAGCTCTACGCTAGCCATAATACTGGTATACATAAATGTAAATTGAGTTGAGTTGCATTTTACAACTGTGATTTTGTTTTTTAATATAAAAATTCATTCAAATAAATATACATTTGTTCCATTTGTAATATATACGCATGATAATAGTTGTTCTGTCATAAAAATACTGTAACAAAACTAAACATTCATAATCGGATAACAGTTACAGTCAGAAGTACATAATTGGACGATATATATTATTGTTATTGTGTGTATGTCATTTATATCATTTGCTTTTGTTTCGTCGCTAGGGCGTGATATTGAAACAATTTTATATTGAATAATGTCTCATACTTATATCATAGTAGCTTAATTTATAGAAATTATATTGAAGTAACAATTAGATTATTGTTGTACTCACATGGAAGCAGAAAGACTGAAAAAACCTTGTAACTCCCCTCACATTCTCCTTGATTCTCTGAAGCCTACATGGAATGCTGCATAAAGAATACATGTTATACGTCAGTTCAAAACTAGTTTTCCTAGGATACTGTTATGGTTGGTGATTTCAGTAGTATATATATATATATATATATATATATATATATACATTTATATATAAAAGATGCATTTTTTCACGTAATATTTTCTCATACCTTTTCGTGACCGTATAATTTCCACAAGATTATGTTGATAATACTCCGTACTACTTATGTTTGGAGCTATATATTTATTTTCGCTCATACATATTACTTTCATTACACACAAAACAATAGCATTTAAAGCAGATCAGTGTGTGTTTGTGTGTGCATACTAGATAAAAAATAAAAGATGATAATGGACTCACTCTGGTGTTAAAATTTAAACAATAAACAAAAATGGATACAAGTGAACGACTTTATTTTTATCAATGAATTCTTCGTTTCAAAATTTCTCCCTGTTGTTTTGTTCGATAATAAACTGTTGAGTGTGTATAAGTGTTGCGTGATTGAGTAGGTGTAGACTGGACGTACACCCACAATATATGATTGATAAATCTCGATATTGGATGAAATAATTGTCCAATACTTCCTCTCTTTCTGTGTGTGTTGTCGAAAAATAGTTCACCAAGTGATGTTAGTTCTCGAAAAAAGCCTTCTTCTCACTTAGAAAATATTTGAAATATTTGAAAAGAATTGCTGATATATCTTATCGCATCGAAAGTTTACTGAAGAACCTTGTATACTGTCATGCTTGAACCAATAATATGAGTGTCCTGAGTGAGTGGTATGATATGTGAACGCTATTGGCCTTTATAGAGTTTTTTACCTAATCTGACAGCAGAATATAACTTAACTACGGTTAATAAGTAAAATGGTTTTCAGTTCTTATCTAACATCAGTCTGTAATGTAGACTATGCAGTGAAAAAATAAATTTACTAAACAGTCAATCTGCATATGTAGTTCAGCTATAGATAATAATTTAATTGTTGGATTTTGGAATTGTTATCATTTTTTGTTAGGCATACATCCATTTTTTGAAGTAATTTCTGGTTGGTCAAACTACTTATATGGTATCCTTGTTTCATGTGTTTTTCTTTTATATTTGTCTGTTGCTTTGTTCTTGTAAAACACCTTTTTTTCCTTTGATTTATCTTAAGATAATTAATTGTGATGAAGTGGTTCAGGCGAAACAGTTATGACTTTTTGACTTGCTATAATACTTTTTATGTGTGTTACATTATAATCTTTTTTTTCGCCAAAACTCATTAAATTCCTTTTTGGCTGACCCAATACTAAACTAGCCTTGAACGAAGACGAAGGACAAAATACCAATGATCATCAGTTCAAGATCGTTTTTATATTCCAGACAATTGTGCCTTATATACAAGTAGACCAGACCACATTACATCTTAAAAGAATTAATAATTATATATGATACAGCGAAAAGTGGCTGTGAGTAGGGGAAACTGAATAATAAACTGGAAATATATTAAGAACAGTAATTCGTTTAACAGTTGTTAATGGGTCAACCAAAAACTTATAACACAAGGAATATAAATATATAATAATCTAGTTACTTAATAATCATGTAACAAGAATATATATAAAGTAATAGTCTATAAATTTGTCCTGGAAGTTACAATTCCTTTAGTCTTCATTCGGATATAACAGGAACATACTGTTAGATCCTTCAGGTATTTTATGACTTGTATGAGTCACTTGAAAAACTTGATTTCGATTCCATGTAAAGTAGGGGATGATTTCACTTTCGAAAAGGTATCAAACGGGAACAGATTGGTTTTTGCTAGTTCTCTAATTTATTGCCAATCCATAACAATAAAAATCTTCAAATTGGACTATATATATCAAGAGAAACGTTAGAATTGCTTGATTTCAATCGCTCGAATATTTACAAATATATTTACATATTTAATATTACGAATAAATTAAATTAATTCTATTAATTTAAATGATTATTTTGTGGATATATTGTTATTTTTAGTATCGGTGAATTGCGGGGGTTGTTGAATCTTCATAGTTTTGCATTATGAACTAATCTTAGTCAAATAAATGTTAAAGAACAGGAAAACTAAGTAGCTATTTTATTTTTTGCCCCAGCAGTGCGCATCCACGATCTCACTGGAGACTCATACCAGGACAAAACAGATAAGAAATACTACATTTATCTCAATAATTGTCTAATTAAGATCAGTCAGTTGTTTTAAACTATGCATATTGCCATTACATTTGGATTGTTATTTGTCCAATAATGCATGTTTTGAATTTCATTTTAGACGCTTAAATTTTATAATACTTAGTAATTAAGACATGATTACATCTTTCAAATAGTTTACTTCTACTCGAATCCTAATATAAGCCGTGGCCGATCTTAAGAAGTCGAACTTTCTCCTACTTCATTATTCTGAATCCTACTGTAAAGATAATCACCATGAATATGTAATTAAATAGTTTAAATACATTGAAATATACTAAACCCAGTTATCATTTTATGAAAACTAATTAATGGGAGGTATGGGCTTTTTTATCTTCAGTCATTTATTTTTGCTATGTATTGTTGTTTGTGTAATAAGTTAATTTTCTTTATTTTTAATCTACTAAATACAAATGTTTTCTACAACATTCTTTTTTTAAGGGAAAATGGACAAAATGCTGCTTTACAAGATACGCATCATAATCAGGTTAGTAGTGTTAGTTTTCAATTTTACAATCCAAAGTCTCTCTCTTTATATATATATATATATATATCAATAAAAACTTGACCAGATATCTGGTTAATGGAGGTCAATATTAGCCCCGAGACAAATTATTTATATCTATTCAGACTTTCACATTTTTCATTAGCACAATGCAAGAAAGCTAGTATGAAAGAAACAGAATCAACATAAGCATACAAATGTTAATAAAAATAATAATAATGTCCTGTGGATTGAACGCTACTTGTTATATCTGGTCGTCTCTGATTGTTATATCGGAAACGCTTATTACTTATATTCGAAGCGAGAGGCCTCTGCAATGTAAGAACACAAAGACTGGCATAAGTGATGATGTATTAACCATCAAAACACGACAATGACGACTGTGACCAAAAATACACTCATTTATATATTGATTTGTACACCCATTGTGATTAATAATTAGAATGAAATCACATATATGGAAAGTACATACAGTTATAGCAAATCATATGCTGAGTACAGTTCATGTTAATTTAATACAAGAATAACGTGTCATACGGAATAAAAGATCACATTGGAAAATAAAAGAAATACTACATTAAGTGATCATCACATTGAATTAAAACGGAAGTAATGTTGGACAAAACTCATAATGAGCATATCAATAAAATTTTGACTTTTCGTCCCGTCACATCACCTCCCTTTCTTTTTTTTGAAGACTCAAAGTTTCAATTCTGACTTTAAATTTTCTTACTTTATCATCCCCACGAAATAATGTTGGGTCATCGTATTCCCAAGTTACAGTTAGTATGACTATTTAAAACATATTTTCCGCATTGAATAGAGAGTCCACTAGAACTAACTAGATGGTGAAGATCAACAACACTTGATATAAGGTCATTAGGGTTTGATTCTTCTGAAACATTTCCATCAAATTTATTGAAAATCTCATTAGTAGATAATGGATCATTAGGATAATCAGCATCTACCAAAATTGCATTAAGTTCTTGGTTATCATTTGATGCATCCGACTTATTTTTCTTATTGTTATAAGAAATTTTATCGAGAACATGTGAGTCATTAAAATAACCCATATCTGGTAAAACAACTAAAGAAGCCCAATAATTAGATTAATCAGAAACGTTTGTCGCAAAATGATGAGCTCTATTTGGTGCATCTGTCTTAATTATGTTACTTGATTTATTTTCTGTTTCCTCGTGGGTGGATACTACAAAAGTTTTATGAGCATTTAAAAAGACCCCGTCTTTCTGTGAGCTGGACAAGTCAGTGTTTGTACATTGTGTTTCGGGAATAATGGGATTTGAACCCACGACGGAACATGTCTCTGAAATAGACATTACCGAGCCACTTTACGGATTATGTATTACTGCTACTGTTTCGTTTAAATTGTTGCTTGTCACGGATTTATGGAAACCTTCACTGACACTTTCATTCATTCTGCAATCATTATCCAGCTCTGTAAGCAATTTAGAAATTAATTCATTAACTCCCATCACATCTACAAAGCGTGGATGATTCAGCAGCAACGTGTGTAGTCTGTCTATAAATTCCAACTGATTCTTTTTAAAACGCTGCTGTTGTCTCTGAAATAGCAACTGCAATTGGTCGGAACGGAGAGCCATTTTCTCGTTCTGTATGAATCAGCACGGTAATGAAAAATACTGTATGACTAATTAGCAATCAATGTCGTTCAAGGACACCGACGGCAATTCTGTATGCTGATTGTCCGAAATAGTTACACTGATTTTCGTCCAATTACTGGATGACCTTGGTTCCTTTTTTAACCCTCTTGCCACTGATAAGTCTTATGGATCTTGTAGAAATCGTTGAACTGTAACTGAGATCATGGAACGATCAGTGCTAAACCACCATTGGAAACATGGAAGCATTGGATGGCCGTTTCTTCATATTATGGTGCTCCTCAACAGTGCACATTCACGACTACGTACGTAGAACTCAAATCCAGCGAATACTGGAATCAATTTTCTGAAAAGCTGTCTAGACAAACGTGAATATCCGAGACCATTTTTCAAATCCAGCACCTGTAGTCTTGAGCGCAAACACTTAATCTCTAGACCACAGCCGGCATTTAACGGTATTTGTGTCTAACTGCAACCAATCCACACTATTCCGCGACCATCTTCTATTGTCTTGAATAACTGTCCACACTCGACACGGTTGAACTTTACTAATCACGGCTTTTACTAAAACTCCAAGAATTACCTCTTGAAGCTAGTCACTATTGAGAATATGATAATTATCGGCATAGGGTTGTGTAGCTTGTTAAGGAGTCCCATAATGGGACGAAACGACTGTCCAGTGCTAACAGGTTTTCACTGGTGGTCTAACATTGATCGGTTCACGATCTCTGTTAAAATAATAATAATGATATCAAAAGTAATAAATATCTGAAACACAAAAGAAATATACTAGAAAATTGTAAATTAGATTGTGAAATGAAAATATGCAATCTTGGTAATGATTAAAATTAAAAGAAATTTGCCGAAGAATGAATGGATATACTCTCATTAAATTAAAATAATTTTTCACACTTCAATAATGTACTGTTTGGTTAGTTGTTTTGTATGGTCTTCAGTAACATTTAATAATTTCACTATCTAAAATTCAGTTTCAATTTGACTGATATTTTTCACTGGTTCATACTAGTTAGCTACTAATTTAATAAAATGATTTGTCAAGTTTTCTCATAATCTCTGTTATAAAAGAATATTTTATCAATCCTAGAAAATACATGTTATGCCAACGTCATAAAATTATTTACATTGAATGTTCAATTTTTAATAGTCCTTACAGTGTTTTATTCAAAATTTTTCTTTAGAGGAAACAATATCAAATTTTTCTCAAGTGTCTGTTTAATGAATGAGCAAATAGATACTTGAAATGTTTCTAAAATCTTTTCACTATGAAGATATGAAACTCGTAAATTGTGCTATACACGTATCTTCCTGTTAAATAGTTTATGTTACCGTTGCTAATATTAAGGATTAAAATTGACTAATGCTGTTACTTTAGCCCTACTATTATTATTTAAAATCGGTAACCGCTGCAATGTTTACGATACCAAAATAATAATATGAAGAGAGATGCAGTTAGAGAGTTTATTGACTGACCCTCAAAAACAATTCATTTTAACCAAACAAAAATTGCATTCATTTATGTAATGCACTTTTTACGTGCGATTAATGTTTAGTTAAGAATATAACATTTAGAAATAAAATACACTGAGGTTCTGCAAAATATATATACTGAATGCAGTTCACACTGAATTTTATATGGAGAATATATATGTCTCATTGAATGAAATCCTTACTGAATTAATACAAAAAATATTGACCTGAACAGATTTCACACTTGTTGTACCGGGACGAAATTTATATTAGATTGATATAACAAAGATTAACCTTTACATCTTATCGATCAGTCTCTATTAGGATAGATGCATCCTAATTGTATTGTCTCTTTATTGACATTTCGTTCCAAGTTTTTACAAAAGCCGAATAGTGACTGAAATTGGAATTCAGGACATATGTTTCGTCTTATTTGAGACTAGTCAGTTTTATTTTTTAGCATCATCAACTGGGAACTAAAGATAGTTACAAATAAATTTCATACCGAACTCACAAGCTAGTGGTTATCTAGACTCAGTGAATAATGCATTGGATGTTTGAAGCGTAAGGTAAATGATTCGAATTTTAATTTGAACCTCAGTCATAAGTGGGACGAAACTCCACTGTTACATTCCACTACCAACCACAATATTCACTTAATAACAAATAATTTAAGTAGTAATAATATAATAATAAATTATTCTATTAAATGATGTACTGATTTTGTTTGTATTTCCGCACACATACACATACACACAAATAATTTCAACCAAATTCATTTACAATCTATTCACATTTAAATTTTCAAATGTCGCTACATTTTTCTTTACTTAACTTGTAGTGTTTTTTCCTTATACCATTTTTAGCACTTTAAAAGTCACTGTAAATGACATGTGTGTGTATTGGAAGGAAATGTTTTAAATAATCCAATAACTTATAGATGTATATATTTTTTGGGCAAATAATTATGTAACATTTATATATGCAATAATTATTGATTCATTGGTTTCTGTTTTTTTCTTTTAATTTGAAAATTTTCAATTCATCATATTATGTAATTTTTGTACTATGAGAATATTGTGAAAACTGTGTAATTGATAATTGACTACTACTACTTAATAATAATAATAATAATAATAACAATAATAATAATAATAAAGAATTTTCATACATTTAGAAATTTCATTCATATATTCCTTTTTCATTTGAACATTTCAATGCATCATCATAGAATTTTATCAATGGGAAGTATCATTTTTAAATAGTTTCATTGATATATAAATTTTTCAGCTTGTAGTTTCTATGGTGAATGATAATAGTTTGTTTTTTTTTAGTTTATTGTGATTGTCACTAATTGGAATATAATTTATAAATTTTTTTCGTTGATATGACTCCCATTAAACTTGATTTCATTGATGTCTAGTGGGTTATGATAACATTAAACCCTTTCATGAACGCTAGAAAAATAATTCATTTTGTTTTTCATGTTGTGTGATAACATTAAAGCTTTTAATGTTATTCTAGACATGATCATCAGAATTGAATCCATATTTTAAGTAGGCGCCTTTGTTGTTTGCCTGAGATGTAAACATTTCACCAGCATTTCAATACTTTTCTACGGGTTAATTTTGATCGGCTGGTTGTAAGAAAAATATCTAACTTTGATTCATATTTGTATTGGTTGTTTGAAAATTCCCATTGACGTTTAGAACTGCACTCGGTTATGCTCTTATTGGCATATATGCATCCTATATAGATTACCTCGATATTGCCTCAATTCACAAGCATTATGAGAGAAGATGGATGGTGACTTACAGTGGAGTCTATGACGCACGTTTCGTCCTATTCGGGACACGTCAGTTGGATAAACCTCCATCCCAGTATTGATATTCGTCCTGTGACTCGAACTCAGCACCGTTCCCTCCAAATGCCATCACATTATGCACCTACACACTGAGTCCTGATAATAGTCAGCTTATGCAATGGTGTGAAATTTATTTCACTTTGTATTGGTCGTCTGAATCTTACTATTGATGTTTTGGATCCCACTGTTAACCACCATCCATCTCTGTTTATAATTCAATTTTGAGATAGTTTCCGTGGAAGACTGACCGTACTTTATGAGCCATTGAAAACAGAAATATTCACTGGAACAGATGTTCCATTCTAGTTTAATGTCTTCATCAGACCGTGATGAATGCTCATATGAATGATTGAATTTGCAGTCGTCAAGTCTCACTGTAAGCCCATTAATTTTAGGTCTCTGAATTAAGTATTCAGCGTTTTATTTTTTTATTATAATTCAATCCATTAACATAAAACACAGTGTTTTTTAATTTAATTCATAATTTAACTCAATAATTATTTATTATCATTATTACCATAGATGATAGCTGTTCCTCATCTTGACATAGTTGGACCTTGTCATTAATTTATTTACACTTGCTTATGAATCTCACAGTTCAATTGTATTCAAAACATCACAGATGTGAAACAAAAACAGAAAACATGCTATTTTGTACTGTAATTAAGTTTAACAGTTATTTTTTAATTTATTGAAGATAATTGAACAAATTGAGTTCTCCAGTCAACTTATGTTATTTAGTTATGTTTAATTTTTTGTTAATATTTTTTGTATAATACCTTTTCTTCTGATTAATAGTTTTTGTCTTTGATTTTGAATCGTCCATAGGGGTTGGGGGTCAATGTTGACAAATAATCTGGATAAATAATCATCACTCAGTTATATTTTGTATCATGATTGCTTATCATTTATCAATGAACATTTTTAACTTTCATTCTAACAATTATAACATCATCATCTTCGAAACAATCACTTTCTAATTATCTTATAATTTTCTGTTTCTATATTATTTGTTTATTCATTTAGATGTGTGAACTTGTCCGTCAGCATACAGATCAATGGAGTAATCTAAAATCAACACAAATGAAAGAAGTTTATGATTTAGTATTGAGCTTTTTCGATTCACGTAAAGATTTATTAATTAAGGTAAGATAAATAATAACAATATTTTGTTATTCTTATATCAATATTAATGTTTCATTTAATAACTTGAAATAAAGTACGACAGTCTTTGGCGAATAGCGTGAATTCGTAAGATTTTGAAGCTCCTCATCAGCCGCAGCAGAGCTTATAAATTATTATTAATAGTACTATAATAAACACCGTTTTTCATACAGGAAGTCGGTGGATTTTATTTCAAAACAACATACGAAAAACATTAGGAACATGAAGAAGATTGTTCATATCCTATCAAGAATGATTAAATTAGTGAAGTTTCCTATTAAGCTACAGTAAATTCTATTTACATACAATTGATGATTATCCTAACACTACGCAATGAATAGGAACCCCAATAAACGAGATGTCTATCATACAACAAAACTTAAACGTTAATGGTTCACATATTAATGGAGAAGATGGAACTTCTAGGAAGTCACATTTGAAGAGAAACGACTGTTATATCTGAAAGTCCTCAGATGTCGCTCTGAAAACAAAGTTTGCAAACTAAAAGCCATGACAATGAATCAAGTACCGACAAATATTAGGAAAATGCGAATTAGGAAAATGTTGTCGATGTGTTATCCACTTAAGAAAGAAGATGTAATAATGAAAAAACTAGACAACTATGTATATTTTTAGCAAAGACAAAATATACTTAACGTAGTTGTTTAAAATGATTAGTACTTATATGTTGAAAATGAATTCATAAAAAGTAGTGTTTTATTATTAGCTGTTGAGATGCTAAATGAGTAAATTGTTTAACGAATGAGTGGTTATATAATTGGATCATCTAGTTAATGCAAAATCTGATTTAACGTTGTCAGTGAATTGCTATGTAATGGAAGAATGTTAAACCATTATGATTATTTCACCATGTCCAAGGTCAGATTGAAGGCTTTCGATGATAACAACCCATCCAAAGTTAACTGAAAGCTTTATTGCTTGTCAATTATTTGACACGCATTAAAAATATACACGCTATGTATACTGTCCATTAAGTGGTTAGTGATCATAAATCTGTGAAAGCATACTTTACTCCTTTTCAAGCACGGCTTTCAAATGATTAAGTCCAAAACTTTTTTATGTTGTTTTGAACTTAACTTCATTGTTTAAAGCCAATTCCAGCTTGTTAAGAAGCCTTGAATTATAAAATGAACTCATTTTATGCTGTTAGTTCTTTTCTCGCTTTACTTTAAAAGTGTTTCTTGTCGTTGTTGTCTTGTATTGCTTCTTTTCTGTTTCTTCTGTTATTTTTATCGATGTATGATTAGACAAATAAATTCAGTCAAATCATACTTTGAAAATAATGTAGGTCTTTTATTTTCATCTTTTGCTAAAGATGAAGATTTATACTCGTAGAGTTAGTTAATTCTCTGTTTTCCTTGTTTAAATCAAGAAACGATCTTGGTTTGACCACCACTGAGAATCAAAATTCACTGGTCTCCTCCATGTGTTCTAGTGAGAAGCTATGACTAGTGAAATTCAGCCATGCAGTGTGTGAGAGTTTTCTACTGGGGGGATGAACGATAGCTGCAGACTATCGCGAATTCATTGAAGTTAGACATATACACTATTGGATTCCGACTGAGTAGTTTAGAGGTTAGGCGTTCGCACGTAAAATAGCTGTTTATTTTTACAATCTAATGTCAATTCTCGATATAAATTTTTTCCGCTTCTGATTTTGTCGTTCACTTGTTCGGTTATATTAAGTTATAGTAGTGCAAAAATTCCTTGTAAAATAAATTACACTGAAAATTAAGTATTTTAAAGGAATAACTCATCTTGAAATTGTGTTGCAGGGTTCGATTAGGTTGCTATATGCTCTCCCTAGAAAATACCGAGCCCACTATGCTCATGAGACGACTACATGAACAGTAAAAATTAGTTGCTGACAAGTTGACTGAGCCATGTTGGTAGGTGTAGAATACCTGGTTGGGGACCGCGAGATGATAGCAACCGATGGTTAGAGACCTTGAATGACATGGCTCAAAATCGTTTGCAATGGCGCAGGTGCATCCACTCTTTGTGTTCTCTCAAACTCTAATCTTCTAAATTCTTCATGTCCTTTACTTTCTTTCCAAATCTATTCCACTGGACTATACTGCTTAAATAACATCATCAAACCTTAATGTTCCCTATCACTACTTATACTTTCACTACCTCTACCACTACGGGATTTAAATCGATAACTGAATCTCTGTGCTAATGTGGTATGGCAACTCGAACTGATGTACGTACGTACGAAGTTCCACGTTGTCACCGACTGACTGAGTTGCTAAACTAAATTACAATGTATATAAACCACAGATATACATCATACCATTTTCCTTCTCACCTAGACTAGGATATGTAAGGGTTATGACCATGATTAAGTGCAGAATCTACTTCCTCAAATAGCATGTCTCATACATAATGTCTCGCCTACCGTTTGAAAATAGGCATGTGGTATCTCTATGCTCTTCCAGGTTATTATAATAGTTGACATTTTCATATCATTTCTTAGTACGACACTTCTCAGGCATTCACGAATATACTGAAAATTTACAAGTTTCATGGAGATCACTTAACCTGTAGACCACTTAGTTGGTATCCAATCATTTATAGTAGTTTAAGGGTTAGGCATTCACCGCGAGACTTGAAGATCCTGGCTTCGATCCCTAGAGGAGTTATGAACACTCACTGATGAAAAGTCCCGCAACAAAAAATCTATCCAATGATTCCTGATCTCCAATACTTGTTCGACTATGATCTGTTCGTGAATTAATCATTACTATTCTTTAAATGTTTTGCTACGTATTTTGATTAACATTTTATTTCATGAAATGTATTTTCTTAGCAAAGATAGATAGTAGAATCCAGGACGCGCGTTTCGTTCTACCTGGGACTCGTCAGCTGCATGCACCTGCACCTCAGAGTAGCTGTTAACTCTGGGACTCGAACCCAGTATCGTTCTTCTGAAACGCTATCGCGTCATCCACTTAGCTACTGAGTCCTTGTAACTCCTTTCACAACCAATGTGCTTACAGTGAGACTTGACGACTGAAAATTCAATCATTCATATGAGCATTCATCATGGTCTGATGAAGACATTAAACTAGAATGGAACATCTGTTCCAGTGAATATTTCTGTTTTCAATGGCTCATAAAGTACGGTCAGTCTTCCACGGAAACTATCTCAAAATTGAATTATAAACAGAGATGGATGGTGGTTAACAGTGGGATCCTAAACATCAATAGTAAGATTCAGACGACCAATACAAAGTGAAATAAATTTCACACCATTGCATAAGCTGACTATTATCAGGACTCAGTGTGTAGGTGCATAATGTGATGGCATTTGGAGGGAACGGTGCTGAGTTCGAGTCACAGGACGAATATCAATACTGTGATGGAGGTTTATCCAACTGACGTGTCCCGAATAGGACGAAACGTGCGTCATAGACTCCACTGTAAGTCACCATCCATCTTCTCTCATAATGCTTGTGAATTGAGGCAATATCGAGGCAATCTATATAGGATGCATATATGCCAATAAGAGCATGACCGAGTGCAGTCCTACAGGTTATTGGGAAGATTCAAGTTAACAATACCGAGTAAATGTATTTTATTGTTTAACATTTAGATTATGAAGGAGGTTCAAGAAGAACAGAAACGTGAATTACGCATTATACAAGATCGTGAAGTGAAAGAAATGAAAGCACAACAAACCAAAGCTTCAATTGAATCAAACCGTTCCGTAATGAATGATCGCAAATTACGCAATAAAGCAGAACGTGATCGTCGTATACGCGAATTAAATGATTATAATACAAAACGATTTATAGATCAACGTAAACTACAAGCTCAACGACATGATAAACAAACACAAGAATTAAATAAACGTCACACTTTCGATGAACAAGAAATCATCAACGGAATTAAAAAGGTAATAAATTTTTTTTCATTTCAATTCATCAATTTTTCCAATAATCTTTTTGATATAACGAATGATTGCAATATTTTCCTCTGTTACACGTATATTACGATAATACGTTAATAAGACTCATCACGTTATATCAGAACCAGGATTACGCAACCCAAAATAGAGAATCAGATTAACACTAGAGAATACTTTATTCACTACAACTATAACAACAAGCAGTCACACAATGAATCCATAGTAGAAGTGATTAGAAGGAAAATCACATATTTAATAGTCTTTAGGTTGTGGCTGTGTGTCCACGCTCAACGACCAATCATATTTTAGTTTCACTCACCATAGATCATCTCTTTGTTTGATGGCGCTTTTTTTACATTTTCAATCAGAGGATTGTGTGGCATTATGCTCTTGTATTGTATACGTGAATTAGATAAAAAATAATTACAACTTTTCATGAACACCTATTGTTTAATAATAATCTTGATTATTACCATATCAACCAAGTGAACATTTTCTGTATCTTTTATTATCTTTGTTTCGTAAAAGTTGATACATGGTCAGCCATCTTTATGTACAATAAAATTCATGTATACAAGCTGTTTAAAGTACTACAATAAGTTTACCTTGTAAACTAATGCGCGGACACCATTTGATGAATCTTTTCATTTATTTATTTATCCGATATTAAATAGGAGATTTAATTTTATTAAAATTGTGAAAGACAAAAAAGTTGATGTTATGGACACGTTTAAAATAAGTTACTTTAAAGTAAACACTTTTAGTGTATTAACTAAAAAAGTCATGCTTCTTCTATGCAATTTATATTTATCTTATGCACCTTTTTTCCTTTACACTCTCGCCAGGAACGTGAAGAATTTATCCGTAAATATGAAGAAGATCTTTTAGCTCTGAAACGTGCAACGGTCATCTAGATACTCATTCAATAACGATAGAAACAAGCATTTCTTTTTCATTGATTTTACTGCATAAACAGATTTCAGTTATTTTGGTGTTCGTTTGCTCATATCATTGTTCTGTTTCTTATTATTATTCCTCAGGGTGAACACTTCTGTCGTCTTTTTCTTCTTGTCTGTGTTGTGATGTGACAGGTGTTTATACTAGTTTCTCCAATGTATCATTCTAGTGTTCATGACATGAATTACATTAGCACTATTGTTAGTGTTTCAACATTAAGACTGAAAACACAGTATTACTACTATCATCATTATTCTATGTGTTGATAAAATTAAATTTTTTATCGTAACAAATGTCAACTGCTCACTCCACTAATCACACACACCAAACATACTTTTGTAAACGTTTACATACTGTTATAACTAATTATACATTGTGACTAGTAGTATACAGTGGATATCAACGAAAAAAGTCGTATTGTACTAATGTAATTGATCCACATCAAGTTTATTAGTTTCAAGTAACTAGTCAGTGAGTTTCGTCAGTGTTTCCCAACCGAGAAGCTGACCATTTTTTTCGTCAAACAACAGATTGTTGTACAATCTACTTCCCTACCCCTTCTCATATACGCTCTCCATTGTTATGTGATTGATATAAATGCTCGGTATTCGTATATACATATGAATCTTCGAGTTGAAAAGTATTACGTCTGTGATATAACTCGCTACCTTTACTTCCGCTTGTTCGAACTTTAAAACGTTTTGTTACATATGTATGTACACATTTTACAGTTGTCTATGCACTCAAATATATATATATATATATATATATATATATATATATATATATTTACATATAATTTGAATGTGTTCTGTGCAATAAACATTTTTCTACTCACATTGTATTAAAAGAAAACGCTAGTACTTTCTATGTTTCATTTAGAATGTTGTCTGGAAATATCTATCTGAAATATGAATAATAATTATAATACTGAATACATTTATGGTCATAGATTTTGTTGACAAATCACCTTTACAACTAGATTGTACTATTTACTGTTAGATTGTATGTTTATTAAAATTGTAAACAATGATAAAATATTTTAAACACAATGTACTAATACTAATAGAAAAAACAGGGATCAAATTCATGTGTACTTATGTATCATCCATGTATGCTGAGAGTGTACACAATGTTTATAATGCAACTAATAACTGCTCTGTTTACACATGCACACAAACATACATATTTTCATTTATAAACATTTAGAGAAATTATTTTCTACGATAAAAACACAATCTGTTCACAAATGATAGATAACTCGAAAGTCGCAATTTTGTCATTATTTGTGATTACTACTATTGTAATTTTTCCGTCTAGTATTATGATTCTAATTTACTTTTGTTAAAAAGAAATATTTATTGGCCATATTTTGTTGTTGTATGTACACTTTCAACAGGATTATACATCTTTTTTCAATTCCTTTGCTTTCATATATGTGTGTAACGGATGATTATTGTATTTGTTGTTTTTAATGTGAAGATTCCTTTTCTACAACAACTAATATTAGTATTGATTTATAAGTAGATAGATAGATTATACATTGTTTATGAAAAAAAAACTCAGAAACAGATAAATAATGAATGTTACTTATTCACGTATGGTGTGACTTACATGATCACACTTATTCCACTTTCCTTAAGAAAAAAACTTCTCTATCTCATTAATTCATTTCTCTCCTTTTCAATTGATATAATTGCTTTGCTTTTCTGTATTCATGTTGTCCTTACTACGAGATGGAGTAAAAGAAAAACGTCAAATATCACGGCTAGCCTTTCCCTCTAAAACTGGGCCATAGTTTTAGTGGCTAGACCTTTCTTTTTAATTTTTTGCTCTCGTTTCTTACCTCTGTTTTGTTGTTGTTACTGTCTGTATGTACATTGTCTTTCGACGAATTTGTTAATAAACAAACTATTCCCACTACTCCTAATAATACTAGGTGTATAGATATATACTACTTATATTTGGATATAATGACTAATTATTCCACATAATAAAAAAATATTCGGACAAGTTGTTTTGTTCTATTTTTATGTAACATGGTATAAGCCCTCATAGTTCTCAAGTTATCATACTCAACATTGACAGTGTAGAATATTAGTGATAAGATTTTTGTGCACCCACAATAATTTTACTTGAATATTGTCAGAATGATTATTTTTATTGCAAAGTTGAACAATAATAACTTATTTGGAAATCAAGTACAATGCATATTCGCCGGGATAATTAGTTTTAAGAAGCATTATCTATAAAACAATAAATAGAATCATCGGGACATGTGCAGACTTGATTACTTCATGTCTTAATACATGATACATATTGGTTAATGAAAGGTTTTTTTTTATCTTTGTATTGATTGCATTTACGATCAAACTTATTTAACTACCTGATAAAGTATGGTTGGCTAGATTTATACTCATCAAGTGTACTAACTATCTTAACATAAACTGAGAGTCAAGAAGTTAGAATGTTCATTTGAATTTGTGAACACATCATAATTTAAGGCATGATTTAATTTCAACATAGTCCTATTCAGGTTTATTTATTTATTTGAACATATAAATATTGGTACAATGCGGCACCACAGATACATGCGCCACACAAAACAATGAGAATGGGAAGAAAAAAAGAATGTAAGGTGTGTGTGAAAAAAAGAATAAAGACCACAGATTAGTGTATGGTAGTGTAATAATAATGGGGGAAACAGAAAGGTACAACTAGATAGAATTCCTTCAGTTAAGGAAGTTACAACCACTTTTTATGAGGAAAGTGAAAGAAGGTTATAGTAGGATCGCCACTGGCTTCTATTTTGAGCCATATCTGATAACTTCCCTAGCCACTGTGTTGCACCATCTCTCGGATCCCAGCCAGGGAGTAGTGAAAAACCAACAGAAGCCAGTCCTTTACAACTTTCTTTCATACCACGACACCATGTCATACACTGACTACATCTCCGCCTTTTCCAACCAGTTCCAGCGTCGGCAAATAATGCACGACGAGGAATTCTCTGGGACGACATTCGTAGAACATGTCCAGGCCACCGAAGTCGATGTTTCAAGATGGTGACACTAATTGCATTATCGTCACGATGCCGAACCTCTGCATTACTAATATGGTGTTGCCACTGGATGCCAGAAATCCTTCGGAGACAATGATGATCAAACATAGAGAGTCGTCCAACATCCTTGACTCGGAAAGGCCAGGTTTCACAAGCACAGAGCAACACTGCTCTCACCGGCGCGTTGTAGATCCGACCTTTTACAGCCAGACTGACATCACGAAGGCGCAAAAGATGGCCCAGATTGGCAACAGCCACTCTGGCTTTCACTATACGACCGTAGCTGCTACCTTGACGTAGTGGTCGGGCTTGCCTATCGTGATCACCCAACCGAGCTATATTGGTTGGAACATATGTTCCTGCACAGTCTACCATGCCAGGCAGGTCGATTGGAGAACGGTAAGACTAAAAGCAGCAACTCAAGGTCTGAGGGTGAAGTCGTACTGCTGACTGTACAGAGGTGTGACGGAAGTAAGGTGCTTCCCTGAGGCAACCAGCATCTGCAACGATGCTGCCTTCTCACAAGGAAGGAAGGGGTTAGAAAAGGTCGACCCTAAAAATGTCGCACCTCGCCTTACCTCACGGATTTCCGTCTCCGGCGGTAAGGCCTTTGAAGAAGGAAGCCAACACGTTAAGAACTTCCCACAAAAAGGCCATGGGCGACCGGTCTCAAGCAGTTGTCCCTTGGGTTCTGCGGTCATGCTCCCAGGTCTCTAAGACCAACACTAATCCGATTTCCATTTCAGGTTCCTCAAGAAATACCCTTCCATGGTGTGGGCAACCGGGAAGTGATATCAGTCCTCATACACGTAACAGCACACAAGACCAAGTTGGTCACATTCAAATCCTTCCTACACCTCCTAATAACTCTCTTATCTCCACGACTATCCCTTCTTACGTCCCTGTATCACCTCGCCCCGCTAGTGTGAACGATTCGAGTACGCGGAATGTTATTCCTGGTCTCCTGAAACCACGCTCTAAACTACACGTAGGAGCTTTCAACGTCCGAACACTGTGCCGAATAGGACAACAGGCTTCGTTAGCTACGACTTTAGAATCTCGCTCCATCGATGTGTGCTGCGTCTCCGAAACGCGCACACAGGAATCTAGTAGTGTCATTCATTTGATCGCACCATGTCAAAGTAACGAACCAACTCGATTTACGCTTCGTGTAACTGGAAGCCCTGATGCTGCTTCCCGGGGCCTCGCCGGCGTAGGTATAGCATTGAGTCCTAGGGCGGAACTAGCTCTCCTAGACTGGATCCCAGTAGACAGTCGTTTGTGCTCCGTCCGACTAAACGGAACAGTAAGGATTCGAAAAGATAGGGACACTCGTCGTTGCCTTTTCGTCATCTCTGCCTATTCTCCCACTGACTGCAGCTCAGATGATGTAAAAGATGAGTTTTACAGAAAGCTTTCCGACCTTCTCCGAAAAGCTAGGCGTTCAGATGTAGTAATAGTGGCTGGTGACTTTAATGCTCAAGTAGGTAAACTTAGCGAAAAGGAGAGACACCTGGGTGGATCTTATGGTGTCCCGGTTCAAAGAACAGATAACGGCGACCGTCTGTTGCAGCTATGCTCAGATAACCGCCTGTTTCTTGCAAACACTAACTTTAGGCATAAGGAAAAACATCTTATAACATGGCGACCCCCTAATTCGTCTCAACGCTGGACCCAAATAGATCACATCGCTATCAGCCACCGATGGAGGGGCTCGATAGAAGACTGTCGCTCATTCTGGAGCACATGCTTAGACTTAGGTCATGCTCTGGTGCGAGCGCGTATTTGTCTACGTCTTACTGGACGTAGGAAAGATGGTGCAAGGAAACCTCTTAGGGTCCTACTTAATGATAGTCAAGCTAAGAGTATATTTCAGGAACAACTAGAAAAACAGTTAGG